ACACAACATCTTTGTTGGTATGTGGTGCTGAGGATCGAACCCGGGCCGCACGCATGCCAGGCGAGCGCGCTACCGCTTGAGCCACATCCCCAGCCCACAGTTTTTTGGTCTTGACAGAAGTGGCAGAATTGGAGATGATGATTAGAGAGGCAGCTGAGAGTTCACCATTGTTCATACAGAGCAGTGGGCTGAGGACGGAGTAGCAGGAAAACAGTGTCCAGCTACATGTTTTCCTACTCTTCCGCTGAGATGGCAACAGCAGCAGAGTTTCATAGGGGTGTGGGTCATACTTAAGCCAGAAGTCAGGTCATGTCCACAGCAAGGCTTGGAGAGAGCTCTGGGGGAGGGGGAAGTTGCTTGGGTTCTAGTTTTAGCTCAGTTAGAAACTAGTACAGAACTTCAGGTATTGGTTCTTTGTAAGATGAAGTGACATCACTGCCTTGCCAGGGCCGAAAGATTGGACAGATGAAGTGTCAGAGTGCTTGATGATGCTATGTCAGGAAGTCAAAATGGTGGTCATCCTTTCTAGCCAGATGGCTTAGCCAGCTTTGGTGCAGGAAAGAAGCCACTGGAAGGTAGCACTGAAGCATGCTGGGAAGGCTGCTGGTCTCATCCGGTGAGRCCAGGTCTATCCCTGGAACTTCTCTCTGTGTTCAGTGCATGGCCAGGAGATGAAGAGTTGACTGCCCAGGGCCCTAATTCCTCACCATCCTCTGGTGTACCCACCTCATGCTTGGGTTCTGTTCTCCACTCCACCCCAGAGCACTGGAGCTGTGGCTAGAAAGTGTTATTTCTCAGGTTTCAGTCACATGCCCCACTCTGCTTACCCTTGGTGGGCTGCTTCTGCTAGAAAAGAAGACCTCAGCTCTCTGCCTTGTTTGTCCCATCGCGCACTGGTGAGGAAGTTGGCTGGTTATTGCTCAAGATAAACTTTTAGAGCCCATCTCATGCCATTGTCATACATAGCTCTTATTCTTTTTTTCTTTTTCTTTTTGTGGTGCTGCGGATGGAACCCAGGGCCTTGCACTTGCTAGGCAATCCCTGTACCGCTGGGCTACATCCCAGCCCCCACTGGGGCTCACTCTTGTGGCCATTGTCAGTCTAATAGAAATCTGCTTGGAGGAGCGGGCAGGCCCATGTCTCAGGGGGCCAGCCACTGTCCCTTGGTGCATGTGTGAATGAAGCTGCTCCTGCTTGCTTTTGTCTTTCCTCCCCTGGGTTCTGCTCTAGACTGCTTGGTGGCCCACTACCTGTCTTCCTAAATAAAGTTTTATTGAAACATGGCCTTGTCCGTTCATGTACGTATTTAAGGCTGCTTATTTATGGTACAGTTGAGTAGTGATAACCCTCCTTTCTGAGCTGTTTCTGTTTGCTTCTCACCATTCAAAGGAATCATGGGTGTGAGATTGTGAAAGTGGAGTTTTTCATCCAACGATTCAAGAAGATTGGGTGTTTCCTGACTATCACCAAAGATGGGATCCTGCAGTTCTGGTCTGAGTCTTTCTCACTGATTAACTCCTTTATGGTGAGTGGGGTGGTGCATATGGAGCACGTGGGGTTACCGGAGAGCATCCGCCTTAGCACCCTGACATTGAAGGTGACCTGGACCCAGTGTGGGCTTGTTCTTGGCATTTGTCGTCTAAGCAGCCTGGACTTGTCGTCACAGGATGTGGGTCCATGGTCTGGCTTTCCTGTGGGAGCCTCACACTTCTTTTCTGCTAAGGAGGACTCCACCGTGATGTGATGCCTAATAGACATCTCCAACCTAGTTTGTCCAAATAGCATGTCACTCCAGCTCCCCCTGCCCATAGGGCTATTTTTTTTTTTTAGTCATCTCAGCAAATGGCATCATCGTCCAGCAAGGCTCCTGCACTAGGGTTCAGCCTTCTTTCCTTTCCTTGTCGCTCTCATACTGTCTCCATGTCCTGCTGGTTTTAACCCATTACTTGGACCAGGCAGGAAATCACCTGGTTGTGAGTGTGGACCCTGGAGCTCAATTGCAGGCTCAGAATCCCAAATGGACCACTTACCGGCTCTGAACCCGGGCAGGGTATGATACAGCTCTCCAGGCCTCTGAGTCCTCATCTGTGAAAGGGGACTTGTTGAGAGGATTTCATGACCTTGTACGTGGGTTGTGCTTGATTAGGACAAGGCACACAGCAAGTGCCCAATAAATACAAGCCAACATTGTCACGGTCTTTCTGCCGCCAGGTCCTGGCCCAGAGTAGTAGTGATAGGACACTCAAGAAAAGCTGCTGTGTGCTTGATACTGCCAGGCTACTCCAGAAAGCTCCAGAACAGGAGGCAAGCACCGCTCTCCAGGGCTCTGCAGGAGGGCTTGCGGAGAATGCTGCCAGCCRCCTGAAGGGCTCCCCGCCTGTGGGACTGCTCAGGGCTCTCAGCAGCAGCAGCAGCCATCCCTGGGGGTGTGAGGGCTGGATGGAGCTGAGGTTCCTGAGGTTCCCTGAGGCTATGGCTTCTGGCAAACTCCTGCCTTTTCTGTGTGTTGAGGGAGSGTGCATTGCTGCCAGTGCTCCTGGTGGTGTCTGCTACACGGTCACCTCAGTGCCCCTTAGGGGCCAAAGCCTGGGAGGGCTGAAGAGGACCGAGGAAGGCTCCCTAAGAGGGGTCCTGGTAAGGCTTGGAGGACCTGGAGGTTCTTCCTGCTTTGGCAGGTAGATTTTGGCAAGGGTGAGCCATCTGTGAACACCTACTCTGGAGTCTGAGGTGGGGCCTGGACTCCCATCACTAGTACTGTGACCTTGGGCAGGTCACTGGAACTTCCAGCGCTCCTGGTTTCCCATCTGAATAGTGTGGATGCTGGAGGTTACCAGTTTATGGGGGTGTGTGGGTCAGACCCCACCCAAGATGGGAGAGGACCTTGGGGGTTTCCAGTCATCGTCCTTACGATCCGAGGCRTGTGGGGGAGTCTGAGAGTGTAGGGCTGTGGTTCTGGGTGTTCTGTCCATTCTGATGGAACAGCCTGTTCTTTGTCCTCCCTGTGGGAATGCCTCACTAGTTCTGGGCATCCATCTAGAGGAACTTCTTTGAAACATAGCTTCTTTCTTTTTTTTGGGGGGGGATTGAACCCAGGGCCTTGTGCATAGGAGGCAAGCACTCCCCAATTGAGCTATATCCCAGCTCCGGCCTTCCTTCTTTTTCAGACTCCTTTCTGCTTTCTTTAGCCGAGAGCCACTGTATTAACCATGGAACAAAGGAGTCTTAAAAATAAGACTCCTTRGGCTGGGCACAGTGGCGCACACCTGTAATCTCAGTGGCTCAGGAGGCTGAGGCAGGAGGATCAAGTGTTCCAAGCCAGCCTCAGCAACTTAGTGAGACCGTGTCTCTAAATAAAATATTTAGAGGTGGGGAGGTGGCTCAGTGGTTAAGCACCCCTGGTTCAATTCCTGGTACCCTCCCCCCAAAAAAGACTCCTGGGGTGGCTTACCTGACTCATCTCATCCTTCTCTACACCCACCTGTCAGGCTGCTTTCTCTTCCCATGGAAATAGCAGGGGACATGACTTTGCTCAAGGCTTTCCCCTTGGAGGACCAGCTCAAGTTCGTCTGAGTAGACAGCTGCTCAGAGTGAAGGCCCCGGCCCCTCACTGGATGCCTTCGCTCCCTTCATTCCATCCATTACTCCCAACCTGGCAGAATACATCCTTGGTAACAAGCAAGCCCCGTGACTGGGTGGCACCTGAGATGGTAAACAAGACTCGGACATTGGGAGGGGCCGACACAAGGGAAGTCAGGTTCCTTTCTCTGACCCTAATTCCTGTTCCTGAAGACATCTGCTGTGTCCAGTTTTGGGTCACTCTTCCATGGGTCACTTACATATGTGTCTCCCTTTTTCTTTTTTAATTAATTTATTTTTTTTAATAACTAGGGATTGAATACAGGGGCACTTTACCACTGAGCTACATCCCCAGACTTTATATAACACTTCTGCTAAGTGTCTTAGGGTCTCACCAAGTTGCTGAGGCTGACTTTGAAAGATCCTTCTGCCTCAGCCTCCTGAGTTGCTTGGATTACAGGGGTGTGACACCACACCTGGCCCCTCTTGTTTGTAAATGTACAGATGGTGTCACAGTGTAATGCTGCTCTCCATCTTGCTTTCTCACTTGGTAAATACATGTGGCAACTCTTCTTTATTGGCAGGTGTACAGCCCTTCACCCTTCGTGTCTGGTGGTGGCCCATAGTAGTGTCTCATTGCTTTCATGGCACGCTGCATCCCCTGCCTTTGCACACACTGTGGGTTTGACTTGAAAACAAATCCCTGGATCCCAAGCTCTGTACATTCATGACTTTGGAACAACCTATTGAAACTATAGATGAGGACACTGAGACCAGAGAGGTTAGGGAGCTTATTCAAAGTCCTGTCATGAGGAGTTGGTCGTAGCACTGGGCTCTGTGTCTGTGCCTGCTCCAGGGTCCTGTGTGGCAGGAGAGGGTTTGCAGCCCGTGCTCATGGTGTGCTCTGCTGGGGAGTTCCCTAGCCCAAGCCTCCCCTTGTCTTCCTCTGCCAGCTTAGCCAGTTCCTGCAGCTCCACAGCCAGCAGATGTGGGTCACAGACATGGTGTGCCTGCCCAACCTGAACCTCATTGCAGTTTCATCTACCGAACTGAAGATAGGTGAGTCCTGGGCTCCCCAGGCCTGCTTTCTGCACTTGCACTTGGGGCAGCGGTGGCAGCTGAGCACCCATAGCATGGATGCGAGCCCTCTGGGAGCACTGGTGGGAGGAGGAGAGGTCTGGTCATCAGGTGCCGAGTGGCTGCTGAGTGCTGGGTGCCATAGGAGGGACCGAGAGGGACCAGTCACTTGTTGACTGCCCAACTCCTCTCAGTAGGCAGGGAATGCTTAATGAATACCTGAATATTGAATCGATCCAAATTTATCGACTGGAGGCCATAACCAGTCCACCTCCAGCCCTGATTCTCCCCTCTCCAGCCACCCGCAGCCTGGGCCACCCTGGGCTCTCACATGAGTGGCACTGAAGCCTTGCTTGCGCTCTTCCTCTCAAGGCCCACGGAGCAGCTTTCAAAATGCTTTTCTGCAGAAAGCTTTCAACTCGCTCCCCTGCTCTTAGCCTGGTGATGGGATCCTTAACTTGGCCCCAGGCTCTGGAAGTCCTGGCCCCTATGGCCCCACAGTCTTCTCTACCTGTTGCTGTCCCTGGAGCCTGAGGCTACTGTGACCTTCTCTCCCCTCTTCTGATGGGTGCTGCGGCCTCCGTTCCTGTGCTCCCATGATCCTCTGGCACCTCTCCCCACCCCCACAGCGTCTACTTTCTCTTTAGATTTCATCTCAGATTTCACTTCCTCCAGGGGTCCTTTGTGACCACCTCCTYCAAGTCAGTTTCCTCTGTTGAAAAGGCCTGTGTGAGATTGTCCCTCTCCCAGTCAGGGTCCCTTTGAGGTGCAGTCACACGTCCTAGTGTGGTTCTGTAGAGCCTGTTTCCTCCTCCAGCCTAAAGGCTCCCTGACTTCCTGCAGTCAGGGGCTGAAGCTCTTTGACTCCCCTGTCTCCGTGGCTGGCACCTGTGAGGTGCCTGGTGGCTATTAAGTGGGTGGAGGAGTGAGTGAATGAAGTGTCCAGCTGTCCCAGAGGCAGAGGTGGAGGTGGCACCAGCAGACTGGAAAGTGATGTGGGGAGGAGAGGCAGGTGTGAGGCTGGAGCTCACCGGGCAGAGCTGAGGTGGAGGACGAGCCCCGGCTGCTCTGGAAGAGGCTGGGCCTGGGTTCAGACCCTGCTCCTGCCCACTGTTGGTGTGACACTTTGGGCAAGTACTTTACCTCTCAGGGTTTCAGATTACCCAGAAGTAAGATGGAGCCTATGTTTAGTGGCTTAGTCATTAGGGGTGAAGCTCACGGCCTGGCTCCTGGCATCTAGTAGGTGTTCAACCAATATCAGCCTGACTATGAGGTTAGATTGTGTGATAAGAGAAAGTGGTCATCGGGGAGCGAGGCAGTCTGCGGGAGGTATCTGAGACCCAGGGAGGGCCTCAGTTGCAAATACATGTTTCCTGAGGACCAGGTGCTGTCCCTGTCTTCTCTCTTGTCCTTCATTCCTGAGAGACTGGCATGAGAATCTCAGAGAGGATCGTGTCATCACAGCCCTCCTCACCGAGCAGCTGTCATCTCCTGGGAACACTCGGTCAAGGCCAGAGGCTCACCAGCATGAGCCTCAGCCTCTGTGGCCCAGAGGCCTGCCCTCCCCTGGGATCCACAGCCTYCTCAGTGGCTGGCTCCTAGAGAGGTGGAGGGGAGAGCTGCATCCGGGTGAAGACAGCTCTGTTAGTGAGGCTGCTGCTCATTAGATGGGGGCTGGACTGGAGCCCCATCTGTCGGAAGCAGCCGACTTTTTTGAGAAGGGTTTTGAGGTTTGAAGCAGCTGGGTGTGAGGACCCCTTTGAAGGGTTTTGAAAGAATGAAAGTAGTGTTTTCAAAAAATTAGTCTGGAAGGGCTGGTTCAGGTGGGTAAAAGAAGGGGCAAGATGGCAAGAAGCCGTCTCTTCTCTGTCCTAGTGTGCCTGTGCGGAGTCTGCTTACCAGGCCTCGGACCCGTCCAGGGTTTCAGTGGTGGGATGCGTGGGGCTGGGCCCTGGTCCTGAGGAGGGAGTGGCAGGGTGGTGAGGAAGTGGGTCTCCCTGCCCCTGAAGTGCAGGGATGGACAGAGSAAGTGACCAGCTGAGCTGAGGGGCAGAGGCACCCCGCTGCCGGCAGAGCCCAGGGCTCAGCATTTCCCTGCATTTGCTTGTCACAGCTGTCGTCGCAGATTCCTCAGAGCCTAGGTGCTGTGCTGGGCACTGTGGGTGCCACAGGGCGCCACAGCGCCCACACTGCAGAGGAGAGACAGACCCTAAGACCCAAACAAATTAGATGTTGAGATGGTGCCATGAGGGAATCGACGAGGCCTGGGTCCAGGGAACGGCCTTTCTGAGAGGGCATTTGAGTAGGTCTTGAAGGAGTCCCGGGAGCGTTCCGGGTGGAGGGAACAGTGGGGAGGGCCTGGGGTGGGATGAGCATGTAGCTGGAGCCTGTAGGCCAGGGCTGGGGTGGCAGGCGGGGGTCAGGACAGAGGCAGGAGTGGTGGCCAGGCAGGATGTGGATGGAGTGCAGAGGCCCACAGGCTGCCCTACAAGCCCTTGCCACTATAGTGGGCTCTGGAGATTCAATCTAGCCGCAGTGGGAAGCACTGGCTTAGTGGCTTTACTCTGATTGGCTGCCTCTGGTTGTCACAGGGATACTGAAGGGGTTTCCGTTCCATATGTGCCTTTTCGTGCTCTTCTGTCTCTTCCCCAGAGTTCTTTGATATTAGTGACCATAAATGTGTCCGGACCTTCACCTTTATTGATCTGGACTGCTGTGTCTTGGCCATGAACTACTGGTGAGTCCCACAGAAGATGGGAGAAGGGTCTGGGCAGGTGCCATATCACAGGAGGGGCTGGGGCTGGGGTCTCGGAACACCTCCCTGTAAACAGCCTGGAAAGATCCTCACTCCACTGGTTTGAGGCCCTGTATCCTCTTTCCCTCAAGGTGCTTTTCCCCTGGGGTGGCCTTTATGGTCACTCTGACCTTGGAGTTGTCGTTGCTTCTCTCCCTATCCCTCTCCTGTCCAGTCAGCTGTCAAACCCTGGCAGAGGCTGGTCCCACTGTAGCTGAGGACTCTGGCAACATCACAGTTTATAGGGAGGGGTGGCTTGATAACGAGTTGGAAGACTAGGGATTAATTTGTTTTAGTTGAAACAAAATACCAAATTCTCGTTGAGTATCAGTCTGGATCTGGGCAAGGTTCGGGAAGTTGGTTGGAACTGCCCCGGATCCCGGATCCCAAGGTGGAGGGAGCTGTGGGAGGTGGGTAGGTGAAGAACAGGAGGATCCATAGCCTGTTCTGTCCTCATCTTTCCTTAGGTCTGACTATCACAGAGGCGTGTTCTGCTATGGGGACACCAAGGGCAATGTAATTGTCTTCATCTCTGACAGTGTGACCACCGGACTGTTCAACCCCCACATCCTCCCCAGACTCTCCAAATGGGGTAGCTCAGATGCACAGGAATGGGGCAGAGGTTGGGAGTAGGTTGAAGTGGGTCCTGAGCTGGCCCTGGCCCTGGGGTGCTCTCCCCATTCCATGCTGTGGACCTCTGGGGAGGTGGCCAAGGCACCAGTGGGTACTGGGCTGAGTGGCCTATGGGAGAGGGAGTGATGGGGCAACAGCAGAAGACCAGGGGCTGAGAAGAGGTCCATCCTTCTGCAGGCAGATCTTGTTCAGGTGAGGACCAGGGGCTGCAGGACACTCCTTACCCAGGAAGAAGGGAACGTGCTGGGTATGACCTGAGGAAGTCCTTCCTGCCTTCTGAGGCCAGGGTAGTGGAACTTCCTTGGAATATTGTGAGGTGGCTTCTGCTCTCCTTGGCCTTGAGCTGCCTTTGGGTGGGCGGGGTGTGGTGGAGGGGCCCTAGAGGTGGCCTCTGGCAGGCCCGGAGGACTCCTGGCTGAGCAGGAATGTGAGTGAGTGTGGTTGCCACTTTTGAGCAGCTGCATGCAGGGCACCTGTGTGTCACCTCCTGCAGTCTCCACCTACTGCCCCGAGGGAGTTAATGAAGGAGCGTTGGTGGGCTGCAGCCACTCGGTGCACAGCTGTTGAGTGGTGTCTGAGGTCTGAAGCCAGGGCACTTGCCAGAGACCATACTTTTAACCATTTGCTGGGCAATGTCCTAAACTGCTTAAGGAAGCCATTTGGGACTTCTCTGCCAAGGAGTTCCAGATCCCCAGCAGCCATGGGACCTGGGGCTGAGCTGGGGCTTCTGGGCCACTTCATATCCATTTAGAAGAGCCTAGGCCACCAGGGGTCCCACCCACAGGGACCCTGACCCCCCTCCATCCAGGACACCAGCCCTGCCCCTTGAGCAGCATCCGACCCGACTTTGGGACTTCCTAGCACACTTGTTTCCACCCTCAAGGTGGAGCTGGTGAGCAGCAGTGAGATGCATGGCCTAACCCGCACCCCCCGACCCCAGCCTCTTTCCTCCGCATTCCCTGCCAGTTGCCATCAGACCCAAGGCCAGAGTGTCAGGCGTTTCCAACCTGCTTCCTTAAATTGCCCCTGAGGGTGGCCTGTGTGTGTCCCCTGGCCCACCCGTCTGTGTCCATCTCGCTTTCCTGGAGGTTCATTAGCTGCTGCCCCTGGGTGTTTGGTGGCCGGGAGGTTCACAAGGGCAGGGCTGTGCTGYGGCAGTACCTGCTCGTCAGAGTTGCTCGTTTTATGACGTATGGGTGCAACCTCTACTTCTTGGAACTTGAGCTTTCTGAACAAGGGGTTTGGTGGCAAATCCCCCAAGAATGATGTTTCAGGACGAGGGGAGTCTAGGATCTCCATTTGTTTTCCACTGGGGAGAAAAATTGGAGCTCTGTAGTGAGGTGGCTTGTTTAGGACGCAGCACTGAGGGAGAATGTGGGCCCTGGCCTCTCAGCTGTGAGCCGCCTGAGTGGTGGCACCCACTAACCTCTCAAGTCACAGTGAGGCTCCATGCGCATTTGGCTGAAAAGACCTTTGAGAAGCAAGGAGTTGACAGTCAACTCCAGACATCATCTGAGAGTCTGCGTGGCTGGCAAAGAGGGAAGCTAGTGTGGACCTCAGTTTTCCCCCCATCAGATCACTGGATCAATGTTTCCATGCCAAAACTCTTAACTGAGAAGTCTGCTGTATACAGAAGTTACCAGCTGAGGGTAAGTTGTACCTTCTTGGCCTGTGACCATGGTGAACGTCCAATACACACACCACCCAAAAGTAAATGCAGAAAGTAGATTCACCTCCCGGGTCCAGTCTTAGCTCTAGGGATCGGGCCCTAGAACCAGAGCCAAGGCAGTTGTTGGAGGCCGTGGGTTCCATCTGCATGATATGCGTGGGCCCCAGCGTGGCCAGGTGTTCCCGCTGCTGCTGCTGTGGCCTGGCCCTGCAGACATCCCTGTCTTCTGGAGCCATACAGTGTGTATAGCTGGCTTCCCCACTCCTTTCTCTATGCAGCTTTTTCTCCTTTTGGCAGTCACAGGAATTATTCATTAGAATGACTGTTGTGTCACTCCAGTAGCTTCTATCACATTTGAAACAACTTCTCAAGTCCTTACCACAAGCATCAGGACATGAGGCCCCTGACTTGCTTTAGGTCTTGTTTTCTACCTTTTTTTCTCATTTACTGTGCTGCAGAGACACAGGCTTCCTTGCTCTCCCCTCCCAAAATACCCCCAAGCCCTTTCCTACCACAGGGCCTTGGCACATGACATCCCTTCCAGCTGCAGTGCTGTTCCCCTAGGTTCCTATTTACCACCCTCTACTTGTTTCCCAGGATAACCTGCTGCCTCCTCTGTCTTTTCTCCCTTCACCCTGTACTTTCCACTCCCAACTTTGTATTGTCCACCCATTATTGTTGCCCTGTGATCCTCACAAGATTGATAGCTACTTGAGGACAGGGACTTTGTGTGTTGTGCTCTCCGGTCCATCTCTAGTGCCTCCAACAGTGGGCTCCCAGCACATCTGTTGAACAAATGAGTGAATGAGAGCCTCAAGGTAAGCCTGAGTGGGGTGGTTGAAGGCTCCCGAATGTTGTTTCTGCGTGGGCTCTGTGACTTTCGTAGGAGGAGGCACCTACGACCTCATCTCCTTTTTATTTATTTATTTATTTTTAATATTTTATTTTTGTGTCATCTCCTTTTTCATCTTCCAGTGGGAATCTCTTTTGGGGCTTGGTTTTTCCTCCAAGTTGCTTAATGTCCCAGGTCTCATTCAGTGCCTTGGATTAGTGCCTCCTTGTGACGGACACTTGGTGAGACTAGAAAACCTGGCTTGGTGCATTGCACACAGAAGGCACTGAATGAGTGTTGGATGGTCCCATCTCTTCCACCCACCTCCATTCTTTCCTGTCCTCCATTCTTGTCGTAGTCAGGAAAATCTCCAGCTGGGGAGGCCAAGCTCTGGTCCAGGTCACAGATCCCAAGCTGGGGAAGTCAGAGGCCAGCCAGCCCACTTGTGTTCCTTTTCTTGTTAAGGCTGCCCCAGGTTGTCCTTACCTCCCAGGCTCCCGTGAACTTGTCTGACAAACTTAGAGGGTAGCAGTGGGGCAGAGGGACAGGTCCACGCAGTGGGTGCTTCCTGTGGAGGATGACTCCATCCATTCTCCCCTTGGGAGAATGACACTTGCATAGGCCCAACCCCATGGATCCTTTCACGGACAAAGCAATCGTACAAATAAAATGCCTTTAAGTATTTTCTGACACAAGGGATGGCTACACTTTCCTGATCACTGGACCTGGGCTAGGACTTTGGGCCACTTCAATTTGTCCAAGCTGTGGTCATTTCATTAGGCTCCATCACCTCCAGGCCCCTCCAGCCCCTCACCCTGGCCATGTTCCAGGGGCTGGGCSTGGAATGCAGCTGTCCTCTGGAGGGTCTCCCACGAGGGTGGCTCTCTTCCCCAGGCTCTCCATCCCAACTGGTGTCAGAAGGTCAAGTTCATTTCTGATCTGAACCTCGTGGTCTCCTGTTCAGCCGTTGAGAAGTCCTCTCTGGTGCTGACAGTGTTGCCAGCCAAAGACCTTGAGAAACCCAGGTAAAGAGCACCTTTCCAGGCTGAGGCAGCATGGCTGAGAGGGAGGTGGGCGGTGAGTGGGCCTTGGTGGGTGGATTCATGTCAGCCATGTGATGTCCCTGCCAGAGAGGACCCACCTCTGTGCTAGTGGCATCTCCGTGAGCAGGGCAGTGTCCTGAGGATCACACCATGCCTAGGCGCAGGCAGTGTGTGTCCTATGGGCTGACATAGGTCAGGAATTAGAGTGCACACTCTGGAGTCTGGTTTCAGTTATTGCTCCAGCCTCGACACCAGTGCTAAGAACGTGATAGGGTTCTTCTAGCCACAGCTCAGCATAGAAGCCAACAGCCCCTTCTTTCCCTCCCTTTCTCCCCTCCTTCCTTCCTGTACTGGGGATTTAACCCAGGGGCACTTAGCCACTGAGCAGCATCCCCACTACCTTTTTTTTTTTTTTTTTTTTTTTAATTTAAAACGGTCTCACTAAGTTGCTGAGGGCCTCACTATGTTGCTAAGACTGGCTCAAACTTGCAATCCTCCTATCTCAGCCTCCCAAGTTGCTGGGGTTACTTGTATATGCCACTGTGCCCATCAAGACCATTCCTGAAGAAAGGAGTGAATATGAATATGAATTGGTTCAACTCTGTGATCCTCAGTTTGCTTATCTGTAAAATGAGTTAAGGAAAGCACTTACCTTAATAAATATCTCAAGGATTCCTTGAGGGAATAATGCTGTACGTGGAAAGTGTTCAACAACTGGTAGCATTTATTGTTCAGAGATGATTCCAATCTATTTTCTTCATTCTAGATTCCTCTAACCCTGAGGAAATTTGTTTTTTTATGATACTGGGAATCAAACTCAGGGCCTTGAGCATGCTAAACAAGTGCTCTACCACTGAGCGAAACCCCCAGTCCCACCTTTCCTTTAAAAAAAAAAAAAAAATCTAGCCAGGCACAGTGGCTCATGTCTGTAATCCCAGGGCTTGGCTCCAGATCTTGAGACAGGAGGATAGCAAGTTCAAGGCCAATCTCAGMAATTTAGTGAGATCCTGTCTCAAAATAAAAAATAAAGGGGCTGGGGATGTGGCTCAAGCGGTAGTGCGCTCACCTGGCATGCGTGCGGCCCGGGTTCGATCCTCAGCACCACATACAAACAAAGATGTTGTGTCTGCCGATAACTAAAAAATAAATATTAAAATTCTCTCTCTCTCTCTCTCTCTCTCTCTCTCTCTCTCTCTGTCTCTCTCCCCCTCCCTCCCTCTCTCCCTCTCCCTCTCCCTCTCTAAAAAAATAAATAAATAAATAAATAAATAAAAATAAATAAAAAGGGCTAAAGAGAGATATGGCTTAATGGTAAATTGCCCATGGGTTAAATCTCCTGAACCCAAACCAAAACTAAAAATCAGTTATTAGTTGCACAAGTGGGTATTAAATGCATATCTATGTCAGAATCAAAGTGTTATAAATATGGTTGGAGTCCTGTGGGATTCCCCTTGTCCCCATGGTCTCATTGTTGGCAGAAGCCTGCCATTGTCATTTTGGCTCACAYCTTCCTTCTGCTGTGTGGCACATCTCGAGGGTTCCCTCCTGCGGAGTTCCTTGGCTGGTTTCTCCTGCCCCCACAGCCTTCCCCTCGAGTCCTGGGCTCTGTGACGCTGGGCTCATGAGCAGCCTGCATGATGGTCTGTGCCCCAGGCATGTCTTTTGGGGGAACAACAAGAGATTGGAGGTCCCTGTTGGGGAGTCGCAAGGTGTGACACGGTGCTAAGGGCCATGCAGGCCCTCACTGTTACTTTCTGCTGGTTGTTTCTCAAGAAAAATCTAGTTCTGAGGTCACAGGGCTCCTTGGGTGGCCTCTTCACTTTCCAGACAGGAGCCCGAGGTTCAGGGAGGTGCTGAAGACAAGTGACTGTCTTTGCTCGTTTGAGCCAGAGCTTGATCTCAGGCTGCTGTTCAGTCCAGTACCTTTTAGTCCCCCAAACTGTGCTCACTCTTAACCAAGTCGTGGGCTCACCCCAGGTGGGAGGGGCCCTGTGAATGTCTGGTGTGTGTGTGTGTGTGTGTGTGTGTGTGTGTGTGTGTGTGTGTGTTGGGGGGACTCCATCTTGGCTCCGTGCTTTGAGCAGGGCGGGGTGGTGGGGTGTTGCTTGGCCCTGGTGGCTGAATGGTCTCTGCCTCTGTTCTGCTGCTCTACCATGTCCCTGATACCTGTTTCGCTCGACTTCTTGTTTTTGGGGAGCTCTTTAAGGCCTAGATGATATCAGCGGGTCCCCTTACCATGGCATGCGGGCCTCCGTGGATGGCCCTGCTGCCTTCCTGAGCGCCCCTCTTCCCCTCAGCTCCAGCTCCACTGGCCCCTTGAGGTTCAGGAGCGCCCCTGCCCCAGGCCTTTGCCTTGTTGTCTGCCTGGCATGCTCCTGCTTTCTGGTTGTTTTTGTTATGAAAATGTTCWAACACACACAGAATAGAAACACGTAGCACTCCTCTTTATCATCACCTGGTATTTAGTCCAGGTGTCTCAGAAGATCTCCTTATGATTATTTGAAATCAGATGTAAGCAGAGTTCTCCGGTGGTTTTGAGCAGAGGAACTGTGTGGTCTGAGGCATGTGTTGGACGTGCTCGGGCAGGAATGCAGGTGGGAACATAAGTGAGGAGGCTGTTGCAGTGGTTCAGGCCACAGGATGACCCTGGAGTTGGTCATGGGTAGAGATGGAGGGATTGGAGTGTATAAATTTGTCAGGGACTGGAGAGTATATTTAGACATATACACTCCCAAGACACCTTCTTGTCTGRATGCAGTACAGTGCCTTGGGCAGCAGGGGGTACCATTGACCACTTTCTGGTCTCCCATTTTTGAAGACGCTGTCTTGGTGTATGGCCTCTGAARGTTGGGTCAGGCATTGCCAACCTAAACTCTTCCTCTACCTCCTCCTCCCCTTCCTTCTCCTTGTAATTGAACTTAGGGGGCCCTGTACCACTGAGCTACTCTACCACTGAGCTAATGTCCCTAGCCATTTTTATTTTTATTTTGAGATGGGGTCTTGCCAGGTTGCTAAGGCTGGCCTCAAAATTGTRATTCTCCTGCCTTAGCCTCCCCAGTTGCTGGGATAATAGGTATGTGCCATTGTCTGTGGCCCCAGACTCCTCTTCTAGAGTTGGCCTTGACTTCCAAGGAGTGGGCCTGCGGGTCCGACTTCCCATAGCTGGTCTCTCTGTGCTCTTTGGGTGGTTAGGGCCAGAAGTGAAGCTGGGGGAGGAGCAGCAGAGGTTGAGGGGTGGGTCGGGAGCCAGTGTCTAGAGGGTGGATGGACCCACAATACCTCCCTTTCGTTGAGGCCACTGTCATCTTGCACCCAAGCTGCTTGCCTTCTTAGCAGCCCCACTGCATGCCCTCTGGCCACTGTCCCTGCTTGTGGTCATCTGCAGGTCTCAGCAGGGGTCCTCCTGGAGCCTTCAGTGGTGTAGACCTGCCTCCTCTAGCTGTCCTCTCGTGCCCTCTCCTCTTGGGCCCCTCATGCCAGCCCCGTGGCCTTGCACTTGCAAGGCCTCGTCTTCCCCCCAGTGCTCCTGTGGCCAGTTCCTTCTCCTCCATCTGAGCTTCTCTGTACCCTCCTCGAGAGGTTGTCAAAAGTAAGTCTGCCTCAGTTTCCCTTTGTCAAAGCCACCTCCTTGTTTCCCTTGCAGGACTTGCCACAATTTGTCACTGTTCCTCTCCCTGTCTCTATGTCCTTGCTGCTATTTCCCCCAGAAGGGAAGCTCCATRTGGCAGGGGCATCGTAGCAATGCTTCTGGAACCCTGGCAAGGAGCTGGAGCTGGCAAGCCTTTGTTGAATGTGCGAGCGGATCAGCCTGGATTGTTCCTGCTAACCCATTGGTGACTGTTCTTCCAGAATATTTTCTTTGCATATAAATGCATGGAGGGCCAGGTGTGGTGGCAAGTGCCTGTAATCCTATGGCTAGGGAGGCTGAGGCAGGAGGATCATGAGTTCAAAGTTGCTTAGGCAACTCAGAGAGACCCTGTCTCTAAATAAAATATAAACATGCTGGGGATGTGGCTCAGTGGCTAAGTACCCCTGCACTCAATCCCCAGTACAAAGAAAAATGCATGGATCAAATGCATTCTGCTGTCATATATACTTAATTAGAATGAATAAATAAATAAATTTWAAAAACCCCCAAATTAGAATGGAAAATGAAATAAAAAAGTAAAATAAAAAAAATACATGGAAGAGGGCAGTGAATATGACTCSACCATAAATGAAATACACACACACTTCCATATGTTCTTCTTGAAGCTTTGATTTTTGGAGGAATCCTGTGGCTGTTGACGCGAAGGGAGGGTTTGAGGGGGAGCAAGACCAAAGGTTAAGAAACCAGCTGGGACCAACACAAAGGTGAAGGCACCTGAGCTGGGCAGAGGCATTTTACCGTGGGCAGTGGGCAGGGAGGATTTGGCCTGATGGGATGACGGAAGCCATTGTGTCATCTGAGGTGAGACCCAGGTGGGCCAGTTCAATGGAGAAGGCTAGGGCGCTTTATGACAGGGTTCTTCAAACTGGGTTTTGAAGGGAACATCCGGTAGAAGGATCTGGCAGGCAGGATGGGTGTGGGCAAGAGGAAGCCGCGTGGGCAGAGGCACAGAGCAACCTGTGAGGGCCTAACTGTCCTGGGACTCCTGTCGGGGTTCTCTGGCTCTCCAAGCCTCTTTCTTTCGTGCTGATCGCGGCCACTTCTTGCTGTACCCACTCAGCCTGGGGCTAAATCCTCTACCGCACGCCAATTTGTTACCTGTGTGACCTTGGGAAAGTTCCTTAGCGTCTCCTTTTAGGGTCTTTGTCTCTGGCTCAGGGCCAGTGACACTCTTCAGGGTTGTGTGTGGGGTCCAGGTGACCCATAAGATGGTACCCAGCAGAAGGACCAGCATATTGGAGGGCAGCCAGGTYAGGACACTCTCTGGACCTGGGAGCCCTCACTTTTTTGATTTGTGTCTTGGCTAGGAAGATACCTGTCCCAGGTTGGTTGATGTGAAAATCATGTCAAGTTTGCCCTTGACACGAGGCAAAACACTTTACAAATGTCAGGCGCTCCTCCTCCTTTGGGGCCACTTTCACCCGGAAGGTGAGTGCTTCCTCCATGAACTGTTGGTCTGGCAGTTGTTTTGCCCACAATGCTCAGCTCTGGGCAGCTTCTAGGACTCTTCTCTCTGGTTGGAGAGGTGGTGCCTTTCCCAGGCCTCCCAGGAGCCCTTGCCTYAGCTCCCTCAGAGGCCCCTGAGGCTGCTGCTCCTGCCCTGCAGCCCTTACCCCTTCCATGTTGTAGGTTCACAGTGCTGAGTTTAAGAAAAGGAGTTCTTTGCTTTGATTACTGCTCAGACAGGAACTTCCTGGGTGAGTCATCTTCCTGTCCCCCATAAGCTGTTGGTCCAGCATCCGGCCTCCCACGGGGCTTCTCTCCTGCTGCTCTTGTCAGCACTCATGGGCACCAGAGGGCGGTGTAATGAGGCAGGCTCTGGTGGGCAGGTGTGGGAGGATGGGGCAGGAGGGGCGGTGGTGGGTTGCAGGGATCCTCTCTGCATCTGGCAAGCCTGGCAGTCATCCGAGGGCTGGCGTTGGGCCTTGTACATCCAGCGCAGGCCCAGGGGCCTGGTACTCATTTCTCTACCCCAGCGACTGGTGGCTATGACTCCCACATCTACCTGTGGAACCCCTTATTCTYCAAAAAGCCTGTGTGGGTGATGAAGGGACATCAGACCTCCGTGATGCACCTCCTCGTAAACAGCAAGAATAGCAGCATCCTCATCAGCATCTCCAGGGACAAGGTGCTGCTCTCAGTTCCGTTCCTTGGGGAAAGACACTGATGCTGGGGTAGTAATCTGGCTCAGCCAGCCCAGGGGACCCATGCTGGAAGGCATCTGAGGCCTAGAGGAACAGGGTAACGTCCCTCCTCAGCCAAAGACCTACAGAGAGGTACCTGGCATCACCATGAAGATCTTCGACAGTCCCCAGTAGAGTCCTGATCCCAGCTCACATCAGTCCACCAGAGCAGGGTTCCCATGTAGCCCAGTCTGGCTTCTTTACCTGAGCAGATCTTCCTCCTGTTTGGTTCTCAGTTTCCTCATCAATAGGCTGGCTCTTGAATGGTTTAGAGGAGAACAGGTGGTAAGAGAGCAGGCAGCATCTGGCACACAGTAGGTGCATGAGACATATGAGTCCTGTCCCTGCTGGTCCTTGCCCCACCCACGTCTGCACGCCTCAGCTCTCCCAGTGACCCCCTCCTTGGTCGCCCTGGCTGTCAGCCTGAYTGGACCTTCCTCAGTGCCTGGGGCAAGGGGCATCACTTTGCTCAGGGGCAGCTGTTAGTTCAGGATGCTGCGCCTCCTTCTTGCTGCTGGGGCATCCTGGCCAACATGCGGAGGCCCACGGCTCCCAGGGTCTCCTTCAGGGAACAATTTGAGTTTTCTGGCTCAGCCGATGGAGAATTTTCAGAGCCTTGGTGTCACTGGGCCACCCTTCCCAACATGTCCTCACTCAGGCTGCTAGGGGACTCTCCTAACACCTGCAAACTGGTATCCTCACCTCTGGTGAAGGATCTGAGGTACGGGGTGGGTGATGGAGATAGGCCAGCTGACGTCCTCGTGACAGCCATGGGAAGAGCTGGGGCGTGCACTGGTCTGGTTGATTCTAAGTCCATCCTTGTGTAGCTCTCTGAGGTGGCTCTTAGCAATGGGTCCTGGGGGGACTTCCATGGGGCCTCTCTAAGGAACTTTTCTTAACCCAGGATGACTGCACTGGGGCTACTCTGGGGACACACAGGCCATTTTGGCAATTAAGTTTGTACCTACTCTGACTGTGTCCTAGGCTGGCTTTTCATGAGTGAGGCTGAAGTGGGAGCTGGTGGGAGTCTGGGTGGGGGTGTTCTGCAGGGTAGAGGCCTAAGGGAAAGCCCTGGGATGGAGCTGTGTTCTACCGCCACTCACCTGTGGCTGGGCTACTGGAGCATAAGTGTAGACAGTGCAGGGTTGTTACCAGTGCAGGGTTGTCACCAGCACAGACACTTAATGCAGTGCATGTGTATTAGGGGTGCCTGGGTAACGAGTCCCCAAGGATCCCCCACCTCTTGCCTGTTTCCCACCCAGAACATCCGCGTGTGGGACATGCAGGACTACATCTGCCTGCAGTCCTTCTGCGGGAAGCTGTTTGCCCTGGGGAACTGCCCCATCACCAGCGCCTGCTTCCACGAGACCGACAACACCCTCATCTGCAGCACCTATTCCGTGAGTGTTGTCCCGGGAGGGAGGGACTCATGGCCAAGGGCAGAGGGGGCACATCAGCCAGGGACACCCAAGAGTCTGTCACATCCTTAACAGCAATCTTGAGACTGCTGAAGCTGCTGGCCTCCAGCCTGGCCTATGAGGCTCCTGCTCTCAGGCCTCCCTGGAAGGCATCGTCTGGGCCCTGGCCTGCCTTCCTCTCTGCCACCGCTACCTCCGCTCATCCCKACCCGTGCATCCCTCGGGCTCTCCTTCTGGAACCGCTAGCCCCAGGTGGGGTCAGGAGTCCTTCCTGAGTCCCCTTGGCCCATCACGGTTGCAGGATGTTTTTCCTACTAAATCATGAACATTAGGAAGGCAGGGCTGAGCCCAAGCAAGACTCTGAAGGAGAGGTCCTCGGGATGACAGGAAGACACTTGTGAGTGGTGACCACGCTGGTACCTGCAACAGGTCCTGCTCCTGAGGGACAAGCATGAAGGTGGACTGGCCAGAGTGGTGGTGGGGCCTGGGACCAGTTGGGGCTGTGGGAATAACCAGCAGCCAGTAGGCAGGGCAGTCCTGACTAGGAAGGAGAAGAGGACATCATTCGCGGTGGAACTTCACCGAGTCCTCGCGCCCTCTGTTGGCTGGGCCACTCTAGCAGGAGATGCACATGTCCTCTTGTGCCTTTGTTGCCTCTCCCAACATAGCAGATTTTGAAGGAGGGTTGTGGGTTCCTCCATATCTTGCTGAGTGCTGGACCAGCTGTTGACCTCTGTCAAGTTAGATCTTCCAGGTTCCTTTTAGTCATCAAACATGATTAACCTCCAGTTCTTTGTCAAGAGCTGAGAATATATGAATAAGACACTCCCTTGAGAAGGGAACCCTGATAGAGGATTTAGCCTCTCAGAAATGATAAGGAGAGAGGGACCTTGGACTTCTGCCTTGGGGTTCTAGGGACACTAGGGTTTAAGAGGCCTAGCTCTGGGAATGGAGGCCCTGGAGTAGGGAGAGTGGMCCAGGAGCCTCGCTGGGTGCCATTTAGACATCTTGATGGAGTGATTTATGGGAGCCATCTCCCCGGGGCCAGTCACTGAGGGCCCATCTCACTGAAGGCAGAGCCCCTCTGACTCTCCTCACCTGCAGATTGGGATCTTAAATGGCTATTTGGAGTGCCAGCAGCCTGTGAAAACAGGAAAGCTGTCAACTCACAGTGCAGCTGTGTGCAATGTCCTTTACAGCAAGATCTTTAAGCAGGTAAGTGACCAGGACTTACCTCCAAGGCTGGTGGGAGGGCCAGGTGACGTGGGGCAGGACCCAGACCTTGCCATGTGCCCGGGGGTGCATTTGAGGAGCAGGCAGCTGCCCTGCAGAAGGGTGGCCATGAGATGAGGTTTGAACGGCACCAACTGGTACCACACGGCTGCCCTCAGCCCCTGAGCTATGGGCTGGCTGCCCGAGGCCTCTCTACGTGAGTCAGCTGGAACGCTGGCTGTGGGGTGCTCTTTGGGGCTCCCAGCATGGCTCTTGTTCCAGGGTGCTAGTTTTCAGGGAAACTGTTGTTTGGCTCTCTTTATTGTAGGAAGTGGGTGGGGAAGACCCAGGTAGTAGGCAGTACCCTGGGCCTGAGTAGAGATCTCTGGGCCCAGAGAGGCTGGGCACAAGGAATCCTTAATGAGAAACAGGAACAGAAAAGGATGCCAGGGCCTCGCCCACCCCGCTCTTGCCAGCCTGGGCCCTCGGGCCGGGGCAGCTGCATCTGCTATGGGGGTGTTTTTTTGCACAAGACCCACAGTAGCTTCTCCGGGCTTCCTTCACCTCTCGTGCCTCAGGCTCTTCAGTGCTGTCGAATAGTTCCTGCTTTGTCTTTAAGTAACTCCAGGCTTCTCTAGATGTTCGGTGGGAGGCGGGTCTGAAATAGCTTCACCTGCTTCTGCTGYGTGGTGACAGTCGTTGCAGCAGCAAGCCCTGGAGCGGCATGACCGTCCTCTACTCTCCGCAGAGGGTCCGGTTAGTATAAGTTAGGATATTCTTCCTTTCTTTACCTTCCTCTTTCTTTTCGTCAGGATAATGATGCTTCAGCCAACATTTTTTTTTTTTTTTTTCTGAATCGAAGATTACTTTTTTCTGGATAGATTCTGAGTTAAGGGAGACTTTACCTTCTAAAGTAAGAGCTGAGGAAGGCTGTAGCGTGGGAGCTGGCACTGACTGGAGGCATGGCTTGCCCTGCAGCAGGATGGCCCTGGAGCCTGATCTCTGGGTGCGCGGAGTGCTGGGGCAGCACAGGCTGGAGGCCCTGGCATGGAGGCGCTGCTGTCCTGGTGCTGTGTTCCCCCCACAGGTGGTGAGTGGCTGCCTGCATGGTACCGTGTGCGTGTGGGAGCTGTTCACCGGCACGAAGATGGTGGATTTCTCCGTGTCTGCCACGCATTTTGTGGAGCTGACCTCCATGGCCCTGGAYGAGTCCGAGCGGTGTCTGCTCACAGGTTTGCGAGATGGCACCATGAAGATGTGGAACTAYAACAGCGGGGAATGCCTCCTGACCTTTCCCAACCCAGACAAGGTGGAGGTCAGTCTGGTGTGTTGCGGAGCCAGGGCAGGGCCCTCAAGCAGCTAACCACAGCTCCCAGGCGCTGGAACATGAGTTTTATGTGTTCCTGAAAGGCCGTACCATCTGGGCAGACTCCTGTCCTCAACCTGCCTGAGCCTTGTGGCATCATACGTCAAATAAAGACAGACAATAGTGGCTGTCTTTATTAAGTTTCCACAAGTGCTCCTTACTCTATATATTTGTTAGCACTTCTTATTTCACATATCGGAGCTTTGGATTGCATTTCTAGCTGGGAAGGGGGGATGGGATTCAGAGTTACTGTACTCACCCTTAATTGGAAATACTTGACAAGGTCTTAGGGACAGTCTGTGGGTGTGACATAGAGCAAAGCCAGCTCTATGGGACTTGAGCCCTATAACACAGTCTTTTAACCAACGCAGCAAGAATACTTGGCCAAGAAGAATGGGGTCTGGATGCTGGTCCAGATGCTGTCACTTAGTGACCTTAGCCAGGTCACTGTGTGTTTCCATCCCTTCCTCTAGACAATGATCATGGGTACCTGCCTTCTCTGCTTCCTTTAAATCTGTCAAGTTCGATGGTCTAGGTCCATTAAATTAGATAATGGGACGTGAAAATACTCTGAAAAATGTATGCTGGCAAAACTCTAGGGAATCCTTATGACTAAGAGTTTTGACTTCTTGCTGGCACATTTAGGAAGACATTTGGGGTCCAGAGCCATGCTCTCTGAAGAGCTTTAGAGCTTTATTTTCTTTCATCTTCAACAGATTAGTGGACTTGTCCATATGAACAAAGCATACTACATGACAGGGTGGAGTAAGAGAATCACCAATTTCACGTGAGTAGCCAGCACTCGCGGTGAGGGGAGGGCAGCTGGGTGTTCTTGCTCTCTGGGTTCCTCCAGTCCTAGCTCCACGGTAGGTAATGGCCACGCTCCATCTGCCCGACTGTCCTTTTCATTCAATACTCATTGAGGCTAATATGTCTAGGCCTCCTGCCAGGTGCTGGGTGATCCCTTCTGGAACACTTCATTCAGTGGGGGGATGTCTCGGTCTGTCTGGGTTTTTATAATAGAATAGTGTACACCGGGGTGGCTTATGCAYGACACACTTATTTTCTCAAGGTGTCAGCAGGTTGCTGTCTGGTGGGGGCCCACTCCTTGTTCATAGAAAGCTCTCTTCTTATTATAACCGTACCAGGTTGAAGGGTGAGGGGTCTCTCTGGGGCTTATAAGGGCCCTAATCCCATTCCTAGGGCTCCACCCTCACGACCTCGTCTCTTTCCCAGGCCCCGCCTCCTAATACCTCACATAAAGGATTAGATTTTAATATATGAATTGGGGAGAAGACAAAGTTCAGACTACAGCACTCCACCTCTGGCTCCCCCAAATTTGTGTCCTCTCACATGCGTAAATTCTTTGGCCCCAGGGTTCCCCCAACATTGGTTCTTTGGTTGGCTGAGCTAGATTATTACCTGCAGTGTTGATATCTTTCCCAAAGAATGGAACTAGTGTGTGGGGAGGGTATACGGGGCATGTTCCATGAGGTGGCACTTTTTCCAGCATCAACTTTAAAGTCTAAGCTCAGTCCCCATCTAAATATTATCTAAATCAGCATGAGACTCAAGGTGAGGCCAGACTTCCTCAGCTGTGACCAGTGATACCGACGTGTAGTGTACTTCTGAAATACAACYGTGGGACTGGCATGGGGTAGATGACACGGAGAAGTAGGAGAGAAGAAAGGAGTGGCAGATTATGAACAAGTCTAATACTCATCAGGACAAACTCCTTCAGACCTTAAGACTTTAAGTAATCCTCTTTGGCTTAATATTCTCRTCTCCAGGCCCACTGGGGTGGAGTCCTGCTTTCAAGACTCACTGGGCAGCCATCCAGGTAGAGGTTGGGCCCCTGGTCTCCAGGCAGCCTGCCTCCGTGACTGTGTAGCCCTGCTGCCTTGGTGGCTCTGTTCTGGGCCCTGCTCCTGCAGTGGTTCTTTGCATGGCTGGGCTCTGGGGCTGCTGGAAGGCTTTGCCCTTTGAAATCCAGGTGGTGGGAACATTCAGGCCCTCTTGGCTCTGCTGTGTATGGGCCACGCTGTAAATGGGGTGGCCAAGGAGCATGGTGCCAGAGTGGAGGATGGAACCTGTGAGGTGAGGTGACTGTGGAGGRTGATGTGATGAGGCCACCCTTCTTCTGCTGAACCTGTGGTGGGGGGACAGTTCTAATCTTTGAAAAACAACCTTTGGGGTCATTTTTCCATTGTCTTGGAGAATAATRCCTGTCTTCTGTTGAGCTGGCTGGTCCTTTCCCATCTCCTCTTCTGACACATCCCAGCAAGCTTGCTTATTTCTGTCAATAGGGAAAGGCTGTGAATTTCGGCTTCCCTCATGTCCTTGGTGGGGGAGATTGCTGGGGATCAAACCCCCGGCCCTGCCTGCTCTAGAATTTCTTAGAAGATCTATCTGCCACAAACCCCAGAATGCAAGCACAGTTCAGCCAGGCTCTGCTGCTTTATAAAAAGGAGGGCTTTCCYTCCAGTTTCTAGGCACATGTCCCCATTTCCTCCTGAGGCCTCATCAAAGTGGTCTTTATCGTCCATATTTCTACCAATGATCTGCTCAAGATCACTTAGTGGTTTTTGTATTTTTTAGTACTGGGGCCTCACACATGCTAGGCTGGTGCTCTGTCACTGAGCCACATCTGCAATCCCCACTTAAGATATTCAAAAAGATTGAGAGCTGTGGGTATAGCTCAGGATAGAGCACATGCTTAGCATGTGTGAGGCCCTGGATTTGATTCCCAGCACTGCAGTTAAAAATATATATATATATATGTGTGTGTGTGTGTGTGTGTGTGTGTGTGTGTGTGTGTGTGTTTATTTTTCCCCTTATAATGGTGCTCTTTTCTGTGTCCTCATCAGAGTTGCTCTTAATGGACCAGGTGTGGTCATGAGGGCTTTTTCTAGCATACACCTTGACACTTCCCACCCCTGCCTAATTCTTCAGTTCCCAAGCCATGTGTGCGTGCGTTCTSAGGTGTTTGTCACAGCAGCAGCTTCTTCTGGTGCCAGTTTGTCTTGGCGTCTCAGACAGCTGTAACTGGATACTGTACCATGGGTGGCTACAAGGAATGGCAATGTATCTCTTATAGTTTGGGAGGTTGGGAAGTCCAAGATCAAAGCACTGGCTCTTGGAGTCTGAGGAGGGCCCACTTCTCATTYGCAGGTGGCCATCTTCTCGTGGTCACCTTACATGGGACTTCATTTCACAAGGACACCAAGCCCATTCACAAGGGCTCTGCCCTTGTGACTAAATCGCCTCCAAATTCCCTCACATTGAGGATTATGGGTTAACTTATGGATTTGGGGGAATATGAACATTATAAATCAAAGAATTTCATTTATGAAGTGTTCTGAGTGCTGTGAAAGAAGAAAGCCGAGGTTTCTATGGGGGAGGTGGAAACATGCTTTGACTCGGGGTGTCAGGCTAGCTGAGCTGAGGTGTCTGGGTGGGTGTGATCTGAGGTACTTGGGGCAGAACACACATTCCAGGGGTGGGAGCACCAGGAACAAGGCCCTTCCTTTTCAGAGGGCCTTTGTAGGGTCATGATTTCCCCCTTTAAGCCTTAATCTTTGTCCAGGTATCTGAACAGGGGTGGATTAAGACTATCTGTAAGCCCCAAAGACAGCTGTTATRGTAAGCATGTAGTAGATGCTTAGGAAATGAGGTTGGTGGGCTGGGCTTCCAGCCAGCTCCTACACCAGAGAATGTCTTCCTCTGAGTTGGCTCCCCAAATCCTAAAGGCCAAGGTTTCCCCCAAAGAGCATTAAAGGCTGAGCTCTCGGCCYTCCTGCCTCTGGCCACGTGCACAGGTTCCACAAGACCAAGCCGGTGCTCTTGTGCTACCACTGGCAGACCTTCCACACGGAGGATGTCCTGAGCATGGCCAAGTACCAGCACCAGTTCCTCGGCACCTCCTCCTACAATGGGGACATCCTCTTCTGGAACGTCAACACATTGAAGCCCATCCTGAGATTCAATGCATCCTTCAGCCCCTTGCCCTTGAAGCCCAGGAAGGTATGGTGGCGGCAGGGGGAACGCTCGCCTCTCACCCTTGTCTCTGCTGAGGGCAGCCAGCAGCAGGGGGGACAGGGAGGGTAGGGGGCACCTGGGAAGCAGAGGGGAGGTGGAGCTTGTTTTGGAGAGGCAGAGAGCCGCAGGTAGATGGCAGTTTCTGTTTATCTTCATGTGACCAATGAGAAAACTGAGTCTCAGAGAGGGTCCACACCTTTCTGGAGGCCACATAACGCACAAGGGGTAGATCTAAACTTGGGCAGTCCGCCCCTGAGCTGGTGCTGCTCCTGTCCTTATTAGGTGTTGCGTAGACTGCTCAGCAGGCTTGGGGAGGGAATTGGGGAACCTGTGCGGTCAGAGTTACCATGTCTTGGCAGACTAACGCTGGAAGGGACTTTAGGGGTTACTTCCTCCTTGGGTTTCCCAAGTGTGTTGGGGAGGGGTGCTTGAAAGCTCTGCCAAGTTGGTTGGTGCTTCCCCAAGAACAGCTCAGGATATTTTTGGTTTTGCTTAAGTTTTGAATCTGTTTTATCCTCTGGACGTCCCTTACATTACGCACAACCGTGACAATATTTGGAACTCACAGTCCATTTGATAGATGGGAAGACTGAGTTCCTCACAGGAGCAGTGTCCTGCCTGTGGGCACTCATGGTGTCAGTGGTGGGCCCAGGGATGGGGTTAGGGGTTTGGTCTGATGTCTTTAAGGGGACAAGGTTTCTAAGAGCAAACCATGGGTGCCAGAGGGCCCTGTGGTGTCGGCCTGGATTTCTCTCTAGATGATGCAGAGCCTCAGGGCTGTTTTCTCCCTGGCACAGGTGCTAACTGAGGGGTGCCTGGATGAGAGGCACTCCAACAAACCCTGCAGGAAGCAAAAGAAGTGGGTACACAAGGTGCCCCCAAAGTCCTCCAGGGTGACAACCAATGCCAGCCTGAGGCGGAATCTGGTGTCGGCACCCCCTGTGATGAGCCACTCATTCTCCCCCTCGCTCCCAAGACACCAGAGATCCTACATTCCTGTGCCCTACAAGGTGGGAGAAGCGCCCTCCATCTGCGTCTTTCTTATTGTGTTTGTGTTCTTATTTGGATGCACCTTTTCAGGGTGACTGTCACCATTAGCCCACTTGTTTTGAGATGGCCAGAGAGCAGAGTCCTTCCCTATCCCAGACCTACTGCATCTGATCCCCCATGCTGCGGCAGGACAGACCCTGCTGCCTCCCCAGGGCAATGCCAGGCCAGGCTCAAGAGTCTGAAGGCTGAGAGTCAGGACCTGCAGGAAAAAACCCTGGAAACCTGAAGTTGGGTATTAGATCCTGGGCCAGTTCTCAAGCTTGAGCCCCCAGCCCCGACCCAGGAGTGAGCACGGACCCCCGGGCTGCTCCAGCAAGCCTTGCCTCCTTGCAGACCAGTCTGCAGAGGGGTGAAGCAGAGTTGCCGGCCAAGTACTTCCTTCCTCCTCTGAGCTGTCTTGGCCCCAGGATGGACCCTTCCAAGAATGAATGACTGTTCTGTTTGGGGGGACAGGGAGAAAGCAGGAGGAGCTACTTCTCTTGACATCAGGAGTTGCTGGCCTTGCGCTTGTAGCAGTGACCACAGTATCCCCATGATGAGCACAGGGATCTCTCATGTGGTGCTCAAGGAGCCACTGTGTTCATTTCCATAATCAGGGCCTAATTCCAGCTCCTGGGCAATGAGGCTTGGGTGAGAAACACCACCTTCTCCAAGTGCATGATCATTGCCAGGCATGGGGCAGTGTAGACCCAGCCCCAGCGTGATCGGCTGGGACATACTTTTGCTAAAATGCATGCACTTTATATACTGTGAGACACCCAGGCCATCTTTGAAGGCTCAGGGTTACCCTGCAGTCAAATCTTCTAGAGCAGTGGGGCCTCGGGTTCCTTGAGCCTCACTTTTAACCAGGGTGATCACTTCTAGGACAAAGGAAGGGTCTTCTCCAAAGACAAACTCAAGTCTCTGCCCCAGWGAGCAAGGCTGCTAGTCACTTAAAATGTTGATTCCCTAGCCATCCGCATGTCCTAAGGCTCAGGACCCACCAGATACTCCACCGGACTTTTCTCTACTGTGGGAGGCCACGGGTGGCTGCYCTTTAATCATCCACCTGATCAATGCCCTCATGGTGACCCGGGAGACCTATTTTTCTTTCTAGATGCTTCTCAGCCTTGATCGATCCGGGCTGGCAAGAGACACCTTTACCAAACAGTCAATGTACAAAGAGGCCCAAAGGAAAAAGGGGGAACTTCAGAAGAAGCTGCTGCTGCAACAGTCCAGAGCCTCCGTGGAAAAGGTCGCTGTGCTCAGCCAGGGGCCGGGGTCAGGGGGAGGGGGCGCAGGGTGTGGCTAGGAAAGGCCCCAGTGCCCAGGGAGCATTCTGGAGTCAGGGTTGCTGTCTGGGAACAGCTCCTCAGGGTGGGTCAGGGAGAGCCAGGGATGTGGGTGGTGTCCCTCCTAGTTGGGGGCTTGGGCTGGGGAGGGGAGGGTGTTGGGTACCCCATGCAGGTGGGGCTGGCTCTTCGTTCTCTTCCTCTTCTACTTTTCTCTGTCTGACCCTGCATGCCCCTCCTGAAAATGCGCTGTGTGTTCATGTTGGGGTGCTGCAGGCCTGTCCCTTCATCCAGCTGCAGGGACCAAGGACTCAGAAACAAGGGGCAGGTGATACCTTCAGAGCTGGCCTGTGGTGGTGGGGTGGGGAGCTGGGAGGAGCTCATTCCCCCCTTCAGGTTATGAATTTTCTTCCAAAAATACCTTTTAAAACCTTTTAAAAAGTAATAATGCAAGTTAATAAGAAGAAAACAAGTGTGTATTGGGGCGAGGGAGGAGATCCCGGATATCTCTCACTCCTGATAAAGAGGGAGACCTGACAGTCTTCAAAGCCTGAGTTCTTTTAACTCTTTGGATGGCTACTGTTGGGAAGTCCTTGGGCTTTTTGCTTGGCCTGGTGGTCTAAATATAATAAAGATTTGTGTCATGAGTCTTGGTTGGATTTGTGTGACTGACCCTGGTGGTTTCTGTGTGAGGCCGCCCTCTTCTGAGGCTGACCTCCACCCCTGGCTTCTAAATGCCCTTTCTCCAAGAGCAGACATGTCCCTTCTCTCTGGGAGTTGGGTGGTTGGTTGAGAGGGTCCAGCGCTTTTGGGTCACCCCTGGTTTTGACACCACTGGTTACCAGTGTCCTGCTCCCTCATGTGTTGAAGCATAACATTGGAGAAGTCCGCCGAGGCAAGCATACGAAGCAGGGGTTATTTAAAAGGGGGTAACATAGACTTCTCCTGGAAGGGAGAAGGGGGCCGGAGCTGGTGGCCTGGTATCCCAAGAAGCGAGGGTGTTCTGCCCTCTTATGTGTCCTAGGCTTCCTTTGTTCTCCTTTCTCTCTGTCCTTCCTGCTAGCTCACACCTTGGTGGGGGGATGGCCAAAAGGTAAGAAGCAGATGGGCTATAGGGGCCAAGTTGGAGTGCTCTGGGCAGGAAGGGGGCTAATTAATAACTCCCTAGGGAGGGACAATCCCTGAGACAGATTACCTTAGCAGCAGGTTGGAGCAGGGGCAGGTTATCCTCTGAAGGAATTAACTTTTCCAGTCCCTCTATTCTCTGGATCTGACTCTTGCCTGTCTGCCTGTCTAATTCTGGCTTCAGTTTTGGTTCTAGTGGAAGAAGAGCTCAGGTTGGGTGGGGCAATGATGCCTTAGCAGAAGGGTCTTGCCTGTGGTCTTCCTGTCCACCGCTTCTAACTGACCATCTTGGAAGCAAGTGTGAAGGGGAAGGCAGCCAGTGCAGGGGGCGAAACTGTGCCCCTTAGAGCCTGTTGATAATGCATATGCCTTGGCCTTCTCAGTAGTGGTCAAGGACCTTTGGTCCCCTGTGTCTGGGACCACCGGACTGAGCAAGCTAAAACGCCCAGTAGGAAGTGGGCTAAGTATCTTGTTTTGGACTCAATGGCAATAGGGATAATCAAGATTTTTKTTGTTGTTGTTGKTTGACAATATGTTTTGGGGACACAAAAGCCATCATACTGTAAAGTTATGACTTAGCAGAAGTGGTGAGGCCTCAAGTTCCCCTYCTGATTGGTTCTGCCATCTGATGGTGCTCTCAGCCTCCAGCAGGAGACAGCCAAGAAGCTCTCTTCATGCTCACTGTGCGGAGCAGCTTCTTACATGGCCCCGCGTGGGCCTCAGGAGTGACATGTAAGGCTCAAGTGAGCAGAGGGGGAATTATCAAAGGGACGAGCAAAGCAAGACTTGAGCAAGAATTTGGTTAAAATACTCTCTCAGCAGTTGGCTGGAAAACAYGGGCATTTTGCTGTAGGTTTATGTGAGTGGGAATGAGCTCCTTCCTCACTTTGAGTTAATAGGTCTTGAAAATTTCTGTTGGAGCCTTATGACAAATCAAACCAAGGGGAAGGMACAGGGAAGTACTAGGGAATGAAACTGTATATCTTGTTTTCAACAAATATTTATTGATCTTGTACTATGTGTCATTGTAGTTATTGTGCTATTGTCACTGTAGCTACTGAGGACAAAGCCATAACAAAAACCAGACTCAAATCCCTGCCCTCAAGTAGCTCATAATCCAGTGTGATGTTTCGAATCACCAGCTGAGTAGAAAGGGACATCTAGGAAATTGGGGACCAGGTTGGTATGGTGACTTGCCCAGGTCCCAGAGGAATGTGTGACAGCAGCCAGAGTAAATGCTGGCTTGAGGCTGTGCCGAGCCAGGCCTACTTCTCCCGCAGATCATCTTCCTGCAGACCAGGCCTCGCCAGCCACACACAGCTGCCATGCTGAGCAGCTGCATCGACGGCCACATCTACGCTTGGTCCCTCCATGGGAATGGAGGCCTGCTGGGCAAGTTCCCTGTGGACCTTAAGGATAATGGGGATGTGGTTGTGGGTGCCATGGCCACTGATGAAAATGACTGGATCCTCATCACAGGGGATTGTAAAGGACACATCAAGGTGAGGAAAGACTGTGTTGAGATTGGGGGACTGGCATCAGTCAAATGCTGCCCACCCCTTTGCTCCAAGGTCCTTACCTACCCCCTGCTTCCTCTGGGTACTGGATTCATTTGTAAAACACTGGGGGTGGATTACTTAGGAGTCCCTTCCTGCTCTGGCCTGGCCACCAAAATGGCCACCAAAAGGCCTTTTCAAGAAGCCTTTCTCTGTGATTCTTCTGCTCCACTGTTATCCTACATCTCCATCCCCAGCCAGGTGTCTCAAGTGATCAGTTGTCTCAGGAGCTGATTTTGTGCTTTTTGGGGCAGGTGTGTCTCATCCTTGAGCCAGTCACACGCCTCTGCTGGCTAATCAAGGGGTGTGGCTGAGAAGACCCTAAGGCCATGGTTATAGTCTGAAAGCTAGAAGAACTGCTCCTAAAGAGTAGTTTGGGAAGAGCCCACAGAGCAGGATTGGGTCAAGGGCTGCTAAGTCAATAACCCACACTTTGTGCCTAGATCTGGGACATTAAGGATTACTGCATACTTATCCACCAGCAGCCACTGCATACCAGCGAGAGCAAGATCCCCATTGAAACAGAGAACAAGTTCCGGATCTTAATTCCTAAACGGTTCCAAATGAACATCCCACACTACATTCCCTTGAAGGAGACGGAGGTAGGAAGGTTACTGGAGGGTCAGTCAGAAGAATGTCCCCATAAGGAGCTGGTTCACTTACTGAGATTATGACTCTACTTATGTGGAAAAGCATTATTTTGGGGATGTTAATTCTTTTCTTAAAATTTTTTATTTGTTCTTTTTAGTTATACAGTACAGTAGAGTGTATTTTGACATATCCTACATCCATGGAGTGTAACTTCCCATTCCTGTAGCTTCTGTGGTCCTACATGGTATGCAGTTGCACTGGTCGTGTTCCTATATGACCATAGGAATGTTATGTCTGGTTCATTCTACAGTCTTTCCCATTCCCATCCTGCTCTACTCCCCTTGCTCCTCCCTCTTCCAATCAGGTGAACCTGCAACCCCTGCCCTCTAACCTCTTGTGAGTCAGCATCCACACGTCAGAGAGAAGATTGGACTTTGGTTTTTTGGAATTGGCTTATTTCACTTAGCTTGACAGTCTCCAGGTCCCTCCATTTAAATGTAAATGCTATAATTTCATTCTTCCTTAAGTCCTTTGTTTATTTTTAAATTGGGTTGTTGCTGTTGAGTTGCTYGGGTTCCTTATATATTTTGAATATTAACCCTTTATGAGATGTGTGGTTTATAATTATCCCCCCCCACACACACACACTCTTGTGGGTTTCTTCTCCCCTTGTTGATCTTGAGTCGATATTTGTATACAGTGTGAGATAAAGATCCAGTTTCATTTTTCTATATGTAGATATCCAGTTTTCCCAGCACTATTTATTCATGAGACTGTCCTCCCCCATTGTGTGTTCTTGCCATCTTGGTCAAAAATCATTTGTTCATAACTAGAAATGTACCTGTAGGCTGTCTGTTCTGTTCCAGTGCCATGCTATTTTGATGATGGGAGCTTTACTATATATATATATATATATATTTTTTTTTTTTTAAAGAGAGAGACAGAGAGAGAGAATTTTTTAATATTTATTTTTTGGTTCTCAGAGGACACAACATCTTTGTTGGTATGTGGTGCTGAGGATCGAACCCAGGCCGCACGCATGCCAGGCAAGCGCGCTACTGCTTGAGCCACATCCCTAGCCCGTACAATATATTTTGAAGCCAGGAAGTGTGATGCCTCCAGCTTTGTTCTTTTTTAAACTTTTTTGTAATTGTGGATGGACAGGATGCCTTTATTTTATTTGTTTATTTTTATGTGGTGCTGAGGATCGAACCCAGTGCCTCAAACATGCTCAGCAAGTGCTCTGCTACTGAGCTACAGCCCCAGCCCCAAGCTTTGTTCTTTTTGCTCAAGACGACATTGGCTATTCAGGGTCTCTTGTGGTTCTATGAAATGTAAGGATTGTTTTTTCAGTTCAATGACATTGAAATTTTGATAAGAATTTCTCTGGATCTGTAGGTTGCCTTGGGTAGTATGGACATTTTAACAATCATTCTTTTTAAATTTAGTTTGTATTGGTATCTATTAATTATACAGAATAGTGGATTTCATTGTGACCTGTCCACTTGTGCATATTGTTCTTAATTCATTATTCCAACCTATGAAACCAGGCTATCTTTTCATTTATGTTTTTTTCCCTTCAATTTCTTTAATCTGTGTTATATAATTTTTAGTGTATAAGTTTTCTATGGATAAATTTACCTCTAAGTATTTTTGTTATTGTTGTTGCAATTGTAAAGAGGGTTGTTTTATTGCTTTCCTTTTCAGATATTTCATTATTAGTGTTTAGAAACACTACTGATTTTGTCTGTTGATTTTGTATCTTGCAACTTTTCTGAATTCATTTATTAGCACTAAGAGTTTATTTTTGTTGTTCTGTGGTAGAGTACTCRCCTAGCATGTTTGAGGTGCTGGGTTTGATCCTTAGTACCTCATAAATATAAAATAAAGATATTGTGTCCACCTATTACTAAAAAATAAATATTAAAAAAAACAAGTGGCGAGAGTGGGCATTCTTTTTTTATCTTGATCTTAGAGGAAAAGCTTTCAAATTTTTATGTTGAGTATGAGGTTAGCTATGGGTTTGTCAGAGGTGGTTTCTATTGTGTTGAGGTACATCCCCTCTATACCTAATTTTTAAAAAAATATTTTAGTTGTCAATGGACATTTATTTTATTTATTTATATGTAGTGCTGAGAATTGAACCCAGTGTTTCACACATGCTGGGCAAGCACTCTGCCACTGAACCACAATCTCAACCCCTGTTCCTAATTTCTTGAGAGTTTTTATTATGATAAGGTGTTGAGCTTTGTCAAATGCTTTTTCTGCATCTATCAGATGATCATTTTTTTAATGTGGTGTCACAGTTATAAATCTGCATATGTTAGCCATCCTTGCATCTCAGGGATGGCAAATATTCTTGAAAGTCAGATCTAATGATTAAGTGATATTTTACTTTATAGAATTATAAATATTAATTGTATAAAAGAATCATATCATTTAACTTGTTACCTATTATTGGACTTCAGGGAAGTTTAAAATTTTATTATAAAAAAATGGACAAAACTTAGAAAAACTTTAACTAAAACTGACTAAAGAAGAAATAGAAAATCTGAAGAGTCGATCTGAATATAACAAGAATAAAACTTCCTACCAAGAAAAGTCAAGGTTCAAATGTTTTCAATGAATCCTACCAACTATTGAAAGAATTAATGCCAGTTCTCCACAAATTCTTCCAAAAGAGTTTTATATGATACCAAAGCCAGAAAAGGTATCACAATAAAACTACCAACCAGTATTTCTTATGAATATACATGCAAAAATCTTAAACAAAATTCTAGCAAATTGAAGCCAGCAATATATGAAAGATTCATATACCATGACCAAATGAGAGTTATCCCAGGGAGGCAGAGTTGGTTCAGTATCTAAAATCAATGTGATACAATATATTGACTGAGAGAATACAAAAGCTCATCTCAATAGATGATGAAAGAGCATTTGACCAAATTGACCAACTTTTCTGATTTAAACACTCCATAAACTAAGAAAGGAACTTCCTCAACCTTGTAAAGACCATCTGTGAAAATTCACAGCTAACTTAATGTTGAAATACCAAATACCTTCCCCTAATATCAGGAATAAGATAAGAAAGTCCAGTCTTGCCACTTCTATTTAACATTTTACTGGAAGGTCATTTGGGAAAGAAAGTAGAATAAAAGGCTTCTATATTGTAATGGAAGTACTAAAACTATCTTTATATGTAGATGACATGATTTTGTAAATAGAAAATCCTAAAAAATCTACTAAGATTCTATTACAGCTAATAAATTAATTCAATGGAATGGAATATATTAATTTAAGATCAATATACAACATCAAGATATTTGGATAAACTAACAATGAGCATTTAAAAATTAAAATGAAGGAAAAATGTTTCCCTTGCAAATGGCATTAAAAAAATTAAAATAGGAACTAATTAGCAAAAGAAGTGCAAATCTGTGCTCTGAAAACTGCAAAACATTATTAAAAGAAATTAAAGAAAGCCTAAATAAATGGAAACACATCCCATGTTCATGTAGTAGAAGATTTAACACTATTAGTATAGCATACTTTCCAAAATGATTCATTATAGTTTAAATAAAATCTCAGCTGTTTTTTTTTTTTAGACCCCAAAATTCATGTGGAAATGCGAAGGATCTAGAATAGTCAAAAACAAAAACACCCCCGCCCCAAAACTCCCCAGAACCAAAACCAAAACACATAGCATGATAACAACAAGAAATCTTAAAGTCTTAAAAAAAGAAAGAAAGAAAGGAAAAGAAAAAAACAGCATGATTCATTAAAAAGTACTGGGATACCTGATGAAATATTAAGAGAAAACCAAATCATTATCTTATATCTTAAAATAAATACTTAAATGGTCAAAACTTAATCCAAAGCTACAGTAATCATGACAGTGTAGTGCTGGCATAAGTAAAAACATAGGTCAGTGGAAATTATATATTTGAGAAGGGACTAGTACTAGAATATATGAAGAACTTAATTAAATATAAATAACCCAATCAAAATATGGGCAAAAGAGCTAAACAGACATTTCTTCAGAGAAGATATGCAAATGGCCTGTGAGTGTATGAAATMAGACTGAATATTGTGAGCTATCAAGGAAATGCATGCAAAACAATAATGAGGTCCTACTTCATACTGAGTAGCTTGGCTACAGATAATAATAAGCATTGATTAGATACAGGCAAATTTTTGATTGCCTATCACTTTCTTATTCAGAGAAAAGGTAAATGTTTGTTCTTTTTTCTCCGCTATACTGGGAATTAACACAGGACCTCATATGTGTTAGGCAAGCACTCTACTACTGAACCTTCACTTATTATTTCTTTTAAAAGTTTGTTGATTCATTAAAAATAATCTTCAAGGGGCTGGGGTCATGGCTCAGAGGTAGAGAGCTCGTCTACCATGTGTGAGATGCTGGGTTCAATCCTCAGCACCACATAAAAATAAAATAAAGATTTTTTTTTAAAAAAGAATAATCTTCAATCATTTAAGTATCTATTTTAAGATATAATATAATGATTTGGGGGCTGGGGGATATAACTCAGTTGGTGGAGTGCTTGCTTTACATGCACAAAGCCCTGGGTTCAATCCCCAGCACCACAAAAAAAAAAAAAAAAAAAAAAAGATAATGATTTGGTTTTCTCTTAATATTTCATCAGGTATCCCAGTAATATTTATTGAATAATGCTTTTTATTACTACTATTTTTTTTTGTACCAGGGATTGAACCAAGGATGCTTAACCACTGATTCACATCCCTATCTCTTTTTATTTTTTTATTTTTGAGACAGGTTCTCACTAAGTTGCTTATAGCCTCAATAAGTTGCTGAGGCTGGTTTTGAACTCGTGATTCTCCTGTCTCAGCCTCTTGAGCCACTGAGATTACAGGTGTGCGTCACCATGCCTGGCTTCTATTGCCACTCATACCAAAATTTTATGTATATTCAGGTTGGTTTTTTGAGTTCTCAGTTTTCTTTCATTGTTCTATTTATAGTTTACATTATTCTGACCTAACCATACTTGACTGTAGCAGAATAAATGCCCCTTTTTAATCTTGTTAATTTAAAAATGGGCCTGTTAATTTTCATCCATTTTCCAGTTAAGTAGAGTTGTATTATCTGTGGTATAATGTTATATATTACTTACTCACCCCTAGATATTTTGGATATATATCTCTCCCAATGTTCAACTGAAGAACTTTAGAATACCTGGACTCTTGTCCTGGCAACATCTCTAACTCTTACTTATCTCCTCTGTAAGACACAGAGAATCTTATATGTCCTGTAAGGTGGTGAGGTTCAAAAGGGGTAATCTGTATAGGTGATAAATAATGTAGACATTTGAAAATGCTTTTTATGATTTTACCAACGGAGACAGGGCCAGAGAAGTTCTGGGAAATACCAAAGGTCATCAGTGAGGTATGTGGAATGTGTCCAGAACAAGAATGCTGAAGATCCAGGGCCCTTCCACTGGGCTCTGCTGTCTGCAGTCCTGAATGCCTGCAGATGAGTTTGTGTGACAGCCTTGGAGTAAGTCATTTCCTGTTCTCTATAGGTTGTGGCTGGCCAGATCATTTCCCTGGTTCCCCCCAAGCTCCTGAATACCTGGAGAGGCCATTTGGAAAGCATTGTGGACATCCTGTACATAGACACCTTCCAACTGGTCATCAGCGCTGGCCAGGACCGGGACGTCAAGGCTTGGAAACTCTCTGGTGATGCCATTGGTATGGGGCCTACCAAAGCATACCCATACCCATGTTCATTCTTGTCCCTGTCCCTGATAGAACATAAGCTGACATGAACGTGTACCCTGTGGGTAGGGAGGTCTCAGACCACAGCCACTGCCTTTGCTCAAATAGGATTACAGGATGCGCATCTGTCTGGTCGCCCATTCAGTACTCTGTCCATTCAGCCGTCAGCCATCCATCCACTCATTCACTCACCCACCCACCTTATTTCCCTTTGTATATTTTTGAAAATCATATATATGATAAAGTATGTTCTTTTCTTTTTTTTTTAAAGTGAACTTAATTGTTATGTTATACTTAAAGAAGAACCACAAACCTAAAGGATTCATCTTGGTGAATTTCCAGAAACTAGCACTCCAAGGTCTCCCCTCACATTTCCCTCTGGGACCATCACTAACAACTCCTCTTCAGAATTAGCATCACCCTGATGTCTAAATCCATATATTAAGTGTGTCTGGTTTTGAATTTGATAGAAACAGAATCATGTAATATGTTCTCCTTTCTCTCAGCATTTCATTTGTGAGAGTCATCCATTTGTGTGGGTGGTAGTTCATTCATTCTTATTGAACTGGATACCATAATTTACTTGTCTTTGTTGTTATTGGGCATTGGGGTTGTTTCTAGCTATTTTGAGTAACTAAAAATAATGCAGCTATGAACATTCTTATATGTATTCTTAGGTAAACAAATRTAGGCATTTTGTTTGGCTATGCATCCAGAAATGTGATTCCCAAATTACAGAAAGCATAGTATTCAGTCCCAGTTGATGTTGCTAAATGATTTTTCAAAGTAGTTATCAGTTTGCCTTCTTTCACCTGCTGCGTTTAAGAATTTTCATTGCCCCATAATTTTGACAACACTTGGTATTGTCAGTGCTTTGCATTTTAGCCACTTTGAAGAGTTATGTAATGGCATCTCATTGTGGTTTTATTTGACTTTCCCTGGTGACTACTGAGGTTAAGTGTCTATATATTGGTCACTTGGTGGCTGTATTCATTTGTTAAATGCTTGTTCAGAATTTTTGCCCATTTTTCTGTAGAATTGTCTTCTTTTGAATGTATGGGAGTTACTTATGTTTTCTGGATATGAGTCATTTGACAATTACATATTTTATGGATTCTCCTTTCATTTTGTGGSCTACTTCTCATTCTTGGTCATAAGTTTTGATGATCAGAAGTTATTCATTTCAAAGGTAGATCATTTTATCTGTCTCATCACTTCTGGCTGATGTTTTGCATCTTTTTTGTATTGTAGCATAACCCAAAGGACATAAAATACACTCTCTTAACAAAATGCTAAGTATACAGTATTGTTAACATACATACTCTGTTATCTCTAGAACCTTTTCATCTTGCATGATTGAAACTATACCCATACACGGCCACTCCCCACTGCTCTCCTCAGTCCCTGGCATTTGCAATTCTACTTGCGTTTTGTGTGATTTCATTACTTTGATGTCTCATGTGGAATTGTGCAGTATTTGTCATTCTGTACACGGCTTATTTCACTTAGCACAGTATTCTCAAGGTTCATCAGTGTTGTAGGTATCACAGATTTCCTYCCATTGTAGGGCTGGAAAATAGTCCATTGTGTGTCTATATCCTGCTCTCTGTGTTCATTCACTCACCAGCAGACACCTAGGTTGCCTCCATCTCTTGGCTGTGGTGAATAATGCTGCATTGAAACCTGGGAGTGCACAATCTTTGTAATCCTGTTTTAATTGGTTTTATTTTTAAGTCCTTAGTATTTATTTTGGATAAATAACAAGAAGGGGATTGCTAGATAATGATGGTAGTTGTATTTTTAATATTTTGAGGAACTGTCCTACTGTTTGCATAGTAACTATACAATTTTACATTCCCATAAAGGTTTTGATTTCTCTGAATCTTCTCCAACACTTTTTATTATCTGTTTTTCTGATAACAGCCATTTTAACAGGTGCAAGGTGATACCTCTTTATGGTGTGGGTTTATACTTCCCTGATGATTAGGAATATTGAGCATCTTTTAATGAACCTTTTAGCCCCTTTTAATGTCTTCCCTTTGGGAAAATGTGTGCTCAAGGCCTTTGCCCATTTAAAAATCATCTATTTTTATTGTTTYGCTTTTAGCTTGTAGGATATATATATATTGGATACTAACCCCTGGTTAGATACATGGTTTATATTCACAAAATATTTCCTCCCATTCCACAGTTTGCCTTTTCACCCTCATATTTATTTCCTTTGCTCTTTGAAGCTTTTTGGTTTGATGTAGTCTCATTTGTCTATTTTTGCTTTTTGGTGTCATCTCCAGGAAACCATTGCCAAAACTACTTTTAGGAAGCTTTTCCCTATGTTTTCTTCTAGGAGTTTTATAGTTCCAGGTTTTATTTTTAAGTGTTCAGTATATTTTGAGATGAAGGTCCAATTTCCTTCTTTTGCGTGTAGATACTCAGTTTCGCACATCGTTTGTTTAAGAAACTGTCTGTCCCCTTTTTAATAGTCTTGTCACTCTTGTCAAAGATCATTTGATTATTTCTTTTGCTATACAGAAACTTTTTATTTCCCACTTGTCTGTTTTTTGCTTTTGCTGTCTGTGCTTTTGGCATATGGATGGGTTTATTTATGCTGTTTGGTTTATGTGCTTGTCTTTGTGCCAATATCATACTATTTGATTACTGAAGCTTTGTAATATGTTTTGAAATTAGGAAATGTGAGGTTTTAGGCTTACTGCTCCACTTTCTCCTCCCAGCCAGGTTTTCTCTTTTACTTCAAATATTTTGGCTATTGAGGGTTCCTCTGTACTTTTATATGAATTTAGGAATGTTTTCCCTATTTCTGAAAAAAAATGGTGTTGAGATTTTGATAGGGAATGCACTGAATCTGTAGGTTACTTTGGGTAGTAGGGACATTTTAACAATTTTAAGTCTACCAAATGATGAACACCCGATGTTTTCCCATTTATTTATGTTGTCTTTAATTTCTTTCAGTAATGTTTTATAGATTGCAGRATATAATGTCTTTTGCCTCCTTGTTTAAGTTTACGCCTAAATATTCTACTCTTTGATACATTTTTAATTAATTTATTTATTTTTGYAGTGCTAGGGATTAAACTCAGGAGTGTTCTACAACTGAACCAAAGTCCCAGCCCTTTTTTTAAAATTTTATTTTGAGATTGGGTCTCTCTAAGTTGGTAAGGCTTTTCTTCAACTTGTGATTCTCCTGTCTTAGTTTTCTGAGTTGCTGGGATTAAAGCCATGCCACTACTGTGTCTGGCTTGATGCATTTTTAAATGGGATTATTTTCTTAATTTCCTATTTGTATTGCTCATTTTATTTTTAATTTTTGGTACTGGGGATTGAACCCACAGGCATGCCACCACTGAGTCACATTTCCAGTCCTTTTTATTTATTTTTATTTTTTTCCTTTTAGTTTTTATTTATCTTTAATTTTTATTTTTAAATTTCTTATTTTTTTCCTTTTTATTTTGAGACAGGATCTCACTAAGTTGCTAGGCTGGACTAAAACTTGCAATCCTCCTATCTCATCATCCTGAGTAGCTTGCTTATTGTTCTTGGGTAGAAACCCAACTGATTTGTGTACATTGATTTTCATATCTTATAAATTTTCTGAATTCATTTATTAGTTATCACAGTTTAAAATTTTTTTGATGGTTTTCTACATACAACGTCATGTTACCTGCAAACAAAAATACTTTCTTTCTTATTTGGATGTCATTATTTCTTTTTCTTGCCTAATTACTCTAGCTAGGATTTCTAGTCCTACACTGAATAGAAGTGATGGAAATAAGTATCCTTGCCTATTCCTGACCTTAGAGGAAAAGCTTTCGGTTTTTCACAATGGAATATGATGTTATCTGTGTGCCTTCCATTATTATTTGAGGCAATTTCCTTCTGTTTCCAGTTTGCTCAAAGTTTTTATCACGAAAGAATGTTGAGTTTTTTCAAATGTGCTTTCTACCCCAACTGAAATGATCATTTGGTCTCCATCTTTTGTTCTATTAATGTGGTATGTTGTGTTGATTGATTTTTTTTTTTTTTGTATTTTGAATCATATTTGCATCCATGGGTGAATCCTATTTGGTCATGTTGTGTGATCCTTTTCATGTGCTATTGAATTCCGTTTGCTAGTATTTTGTTGAGGATTTTTGCATCTCTATTTATCAGGACTATTGGCCTATAGTTTTCTTTTCTCACAATGCCTTTGGCTACAGTTATTGGTCAGATTATTATGGCCTCAGAAGTTGAGTTTAGAAGTATTTCCTCGTCTTCAATTTTTTAGAAGAGTTTGAGAAGGAGTGATAATATTTCTTCTTTGAATGGTAGAATTCTTCAATGACTTCATCTGGCTCTAGGCTTTTTCTTTTTTGGTTGGGAGTTTTTAATTTAATTTTTTCTTTATTTTTTGGCATTGGGGATTGAACCCAGGGGCCCTTTGCCACTGAGCTATATCTTCAGCCATTTTTATTTTGAGGCTGGCCTTGAACTTGCAATCCTCTTGCCTTAGTCTCTCTTGTTGCTGGGATTATAGGTGTATGCCACCACACCTGGCTTGTTGGGAGGTTTTTGATTATTGATTCAAACTAGTTCTAGGTCTGTTCTGATTTTCTGGGGTTTTTTATTTTTATTTTTTATCATTCAGTCTGATAGATTGTTTGCTTCTAGGAATTTATCCATTTTTTCCTAGGTTACTTAATTTGTTGGTATATAATTATGCATAGTAATCTCTCTCTCTCTCTCTCTCTCTCTCTCTCTCTCTCTCTCTCTCTCGTGCTGAGGATTGAATCCAGAACCTCATGCATGCTAGGCCAACACTTGACCACTAAGCTGTACTCCCAGTCCCATAGTAATCTCTTGTGATCCTTTATATTTCACTGGCATTAGTTAGTGTCTTCACTCTCATTTCTCATTGTATTTATTTGAGTCTTTGCTATAATTTGGATCTGGAATGTCCCTGAAAAGCCCTTGGGTTAAAG